CGCTCAGCCTGACCCCGCCGCCGCCTCCTTGGGGGCTGTGGACGCGACCCGTATTACCTCGGCGCCGCCTGGCCCGCCCATGGCGAGTCGGAGGACTTAGGTCTCCGTGCGCACAGCACCCGGTCGCGGACGCGGGATTCGCCGCACTCCAGCGCCCGGGGCTGCAAATGTCTGAGATTCTACGTGACTGCCGGAGTTGATCCCACGTTCTGCTCTGGAAAAGAGTTAGAGATAAAGTTTGGACAGAAATCCCCCGGCAGCGGTACGCTCCGCTCTTCCCCGGAGTCGAGAGCAGCGCCTCCGGGAAGCGAAGATTGCCTGCTCCCGAGAGCCTCGGAGGAGCGCCTTTGTCAAGCTCTTTTTCAGCTGGTCTGTGGTTTCTGCCTCGAAAAGGAAGTAATAAATCTTTGTGGCCCCAGGGTCAAAGAAGACGCTTCAGCTTTCCTGGGGTGCACTGCTGGGAGGCGTCTGCGCGCTTACCGGACCTGTGTACTGAGCTGCTTCGTTTTTATTACGCCGCCAGCAGAGAGCTAATCTCGCTCTTCGGGGTGCTTCGTCCGCGGTGACTGAAGTCCTCCGGAATTGGGGTGATGGCGGAGGGGGCGACTCTGTTCTACTTTACAGTAAAACACTTGTCCCGTGTCTCGACTTTTAGAGATGAGACCAAAGACCTTGACCTCAACGGAAACACTGTTGTTGGAAGTCGAAGGTCATTTTTTAGCTAGTTTAAATACATATTGTCAGAGAGAGAATCCTCAGTCACAGCCTCAACTTCATCTGTAAAATGGGTGCGGCTTCTATTTCCTGAGGAGAGAGAAAAGGCGGATTGGGTGTGCACTGGAAAGGTTAGAGCCCGGCTCAGGCCTGGCGGTGAGAGGACAAACTGCTGCAGGACCAGAAGCTCAGTGGCCGCGGGTACAACGAGGACCTCGCAGAGGTGACCCGACGGACCCCTCACGAACAAAGTTGACAGCGTTGCTGCAAAATGACTGCTGTACTACTTGAGGCAGCCTGTTTCCGTCGGAGGATCCTCCTAACTTTAGGATTTTAAGATGTTGCCGTTAGAGCCATTATTCTTCAGGGAGTTACAGAATCTTCCAAGTACAAGATCTCTTACAAATCGAGCTAAGTCGTTTTCCTTGAGTTTCCACCTCGATTTTCTATGGGTTTAGTTTCAGGGTTAAAAAGGGGGGAGGGAGTTCAAATAAACTGATCTGGATCCATTTTCGCGGGGGGGGGATGTCACTAATAGAATCAACTTCAGCGAATCCCCCCACCCCACCTCGTGGTTCCGATAAGGCATAAGGAGGAGGCGCTATCGGGGGAAGAGGGGAGTCAAGATCCACTTGTGTAAGGAGCTTTCTCAAGAAGCACTGCGTCCCCCCCGGAAGTCGGTCAGGACGGACGGAAGTGTTTATCCCTTTTACAGATGGAGCTGGTGGTAGGCTTTTAATGGGCGGCTTTCCACTTTTCTTCTCTGGCCCCTATTTTCATTCCAGCGCTGCTTCGAATATCCCAGTCCCTTTCTTTCCTCTGCTGTTTCAAAAACAAACCCGAACAAACAAAAACTAAAGTTCTGTTGTCACATGAAAAGACAGGGAAAAGAGGAGTTGAGAAGAAAAGAAAATTCGATCTTAATATTTCCGCATGATTCCAAGAAAGATAAATTCTAATAGTTTTAGTTTTGTATCTGCCTTGATGATTACCCAGAAAGCACTGAATTGCAGCTATTGAAGGTAAGGAGCCTTTTTAAAACAATTGTTTACATAGAAACAATTTTGTTGCAATTTTGTAACATTTTGCTGGAGTTGGCAACATAGTAAATCCCTTTGCCAGACGCCCCCACAGCGAGTGCTCAGCAGTGTGTTCAGCTGGCATAAATTTACAGGTTCTGCCGTCTCCACCCTCTCCTTGGTTGCAAATATTTTACCATTTGGCAGGGTGTCATAATGAATTCTGGACTTTGCGACAGCTAATGACAGCGAAACTTGATAATGCCTTCCTTCCTGAATCCTGAAATTCCTTTCATTGTAATAACTTGCCCTGTTAGCATAGTGACGACCCAGACATAGGGTAAGTCACGTCATAATTTCATTTGCAGAAGAGCCAGTCATGCCACAGGATTGTCCTTCATTTCAGGTCACTTTGTAGTTCACGCAATTCAGTTTTTTCTGGGGAGTAGCTTCATCTCTTTCTCTGCGGCTTGTTTTCATGGCGAGGAAACTGCTGCTGGAAATTTGCGGTGGTGGCTTTTATTTTATTTTGTTTTATTTTTCTCATAGTACTGAGGATTGAACCCAGGGCCTTCACAGCTAGCTATTTTATTTTATTTTATTTTATTTTTCTCATAGTACTGAGGATTGAACCCAGGGCCTTCACAGCTAGCTATATCTCCAGCCCTCTTTATTTTTTATTCTGAGATAGGGTCTTCCTTAATTGCCCAGATTGAGCTCAAACTTGTGATCCTTTTGCCTCAGCCTCCCAGCGTGCTGGGGTTACTGGTGTGCACCACCAGACTTGATGCTTTTGTTTTCACACTGTAATCTTGAACAAATAGATAACCTAACATTCTGAACTGTGGTTGGCCCACTCAGCCTTGGGAAACTGCAGAAAGATCTTTAGGACCTTTCTGCCAGAGTCTGAATGGGGGAAAGATATAAGTTTACCTGGACAATTTTCATCCAGGCTTATCTGTGTCACTGGGGGCCTGCACGATTCACCTTTGGGAAATTTCTGTCCCTAAGCATCAAGATAAATTTCATTCATTCCTTCATATTTTCAACAAACATGAATTTTCAGTGAAATTTAAATGCACAGAATCAAATTGAGATGTGCCATCCTCATTAGTCCAAGGCTGACCCTTTTTATTTTAATATTATAAATGTATTAACCAATCACTCAGAACCTCCAGAGGTAACCACTCTACTTTAGAAATTCAGGTGAAGTGGTCAACTTGCCTCAAAGATCTCAAAAAGAAATAGCCTGGACATCTTTGGAATTACTGTGGAACTGAAGCAGCCACTTAAAATATTCCCATAAGAAACACAAAGGCTCTGACAGACAGATTTAAAGGATTCAACCAAACTTTCAATCTTTAGAAAGCTTCTATCTTCTATGTTATACAGACTCTTCCCCAGAATAGAAAAAGGAGAGAATATTTTCCCAGTTCATCCAAAGTGGATATAAACTCACAGGGGATTCAGAGAAGGAATTAGGCCCTATTCACCAATTCATATATACATAAAACGCCTAAAAATATCAGCAAAATTAATCAAGTGGGGAGGGACAAACCATGCCCTACACCCAAGTCTAGTTTATCCCAGCAACATAAAGATGATTTAAGTATTTACTAAGCACATGCACGATGCCAAGCGCCATTCTCCCAGTGTGGAGTACAGGTGTGAAGCAAGGCTGGTCTCCCATCCGCATGGAATTTGCACACTTGAGGGAGAGACACTGCGTACACGTGCATTTTTTAAAAAATAGGGTTACTGTAGACACTGATGAGTGCTATGGAGGAAATAAAATACATCGATGTGGCAGAGTGATGGAAAGCAGCTGCACTACCTTTAATTGGGAAGGTGATCTGTGCAAAGGGGAGCTGACCCTTGAAAAGAATGAGGGAAGAGCCAGGTGACCACTGGGGAGAACTTCATGCAGATGACACAGCAAGTGCAGAGGCCCTGAGCAGAAATGTGGTTGATGTGTTTAAAGTAAAGCAAGAAGTCCAGAGGTCTGGTGCCCAGCAAGTAAGGTCATGGTAGCCCTCTGAAGGAGGTATGCCTGGTTGCAATACGTAAGGGAGCTTCCCTAATGTTAGACTTTAAAATGCAGTTTCTTAGAAAACACAGAGGGTGTTATGGGAAAAACGGACACAGAGCCACTTCTCCAGGAACATGCGTGGCTGATTTCCAGATGTGTCACTCTGGAGCTGTCCCTGTTTAAGAACCTCTCCTCCCCAGATCTCACCAAAAGTTGCTCAGCCTTTCTACATCTTCACCTTTTTTACCTAACCCAGCTGCATCTCACCCCGGCCTGGAGAGCTGGCAGCCTTGGAGTTGCTCTCTGCAGCTTTTCTTTCTTTCTAGATGCTACAGGACAAGGATCAGCTAACTGGAGCAGCACATGATCCGCACAACTAGAGCTGCCACCTCTAGTCTATCAGCCATCACCCTGTGGCCTGAAGTGGGCATCTCGCTTGGTTCTGCTTGCCCCACACCCACTGTCCTTTCCTTTGGTGAGTACCTGAGGTGTTTGAGGCTTGGTGGGACCTTCCGCCAAGTCACCCCTCCCGTGGACAGGCCAGTGACCTCAGTTCAGCCCATTAGATATTCTCTCCATGGAAGTTTCATTCAGTCATTCGCTCATCCATTCATCCTATACGTATTACACTTCTGTCATGCGCCAAGAAACCTGAATCTTCAGCAGATGCCCAAAAATGAGAAACAGTTGCCACCTTCTCATCCTAACAACAGAGCCCTAAAGAATGGGCCCATTCTCCTGTCAAAAAGGACCCTTTCTCTTTTAAACCTGTTTTTCTGTAGATTCTGTAAGCTACCCAGATCTATCATAAATCCCTCTCTTCTCCCCATCAAGTTCCACAGAGCCTGTTTCTGTTGCACACAGTCAAAACTCCCTAATGAACAGGGTGGTTTACTTACTGCCCAATTGTAGACTCAGTTTCATTCATGCTTTTTTGGGGTGGTGGGGTTACTGGGGATCGAACTCGAGTCCTTGGGTTTGCGAGGCGGGCAGCAGAACCACTGAGCTAAATCCCCGGCCCTCACTCATGCTTTTGTTTCTGTTTCTGATTTCCATCTGCTCTTCCATCACTGCTTTCTATGAGTTCCCACCTTTAAATTCCACTAGCCAGCCAGCCAGCCATCCCAAAAAACCCAATCCCACCCTCCCATGGTCAGTGATGGCCTCTCCACTCCACCTTTCCTGGCCTTGTTTCACACCAGCAATGCCTGGATCGTGCCCTGGGGCCCCCAGTTGCTAGGACTTCCTCACACCAGCCAGCAGCCCTTTGCTGTTGAAACCCACATCTCATCACCAGTATCTCATATGTGTCCTGAGGACCTGCTGGGCTTAAGTATTATCACCCTCTGATTAAAAAAGAATAATTAGTGCATACGATAAAAGAGAGGCCCATGAAGTTAAAAACGAGAAAATTGATCAAAAGCAAAATACCAGAGGTGCGGTCCATATCATGTTCTATGAGATGCTGGGCAATTGGTAGAGGTCAAAGAACTTGGCTCTGAGCTTCCTAGTAACTGGAGTGAAGAAGGGAAATTGCTTAGGAAGTTGACGGCTTTGCCTGACACAGAGACCCAAGGAAAAATTTTCTCCAGCAGTTTGAGCTTCATTCATGTGATTTCTTCATTCACTGCTTTATTTCCAATATATATGGGAATATATATGGTATATGTGTGTTCAAAAAACTAGTTATGGGCTGACTTTGGGGTCCTTATAAAAGAATTGCATAGTATAAAAAGTAGACTATGTCCTTAAATATATCTGTACAATACAAACAACTGCAGAGTTGGGAAGGAAGGCACTGGTTCTTTTTTACAAAAAAATAATATTTCGTACTCAAGAGAATAACAGTAGTTATTATACTGTGTATCATTATCCTTAAACTAGTTATTCAGAGTACAAGATATAAACCCAGAAGATTCTTACAAAAAAGCAACAAACAGATAATAGTCACAAAACTTTCAGCAAACTAAGAAAAACTAGAAAACTACGCTGAGATACCATTTTAC